CTCTCTCTCTCTCTCTCTCTCTCTCTCTCTCTCTCTCTCTCTCTCTCACATACACACATGCACACACACCATTTTGCCGACGAAAACAAAACAAAAAAACGTGCCACTCCCCTTTATGAGTCCCTGGTCTTCTCGGGTAGCGCCAGGGAGCCCCACAGGGTACAGTTTCTGTGAGGATCGGTCATAATTTAGATATGATTCATATTCCAATAATCTGAATCGGACTCATTGATTTCAGTGTGTGATCGGCCGATGTCGTCATCGACGCTCATCCTCTCACTGCCTTTCCCCACTTTTGAGAGAAGGTGAAGCCTTTAGAATAACACCGCTGGCCGCAATGAGACGAATAACGGGAAAGGCGAAGGATGAAACTTTGATCGAGCTGCAAAGCGCGACGGATTCACAGACCGGAGGTAATTAAATGCAGATGCACTCATTAACCTTCAACAACTGGTCACGAGGAGGTTTCTGTCTTATGTCACATGTTTAATATATGTCTAAAAGGCTGTCTTACTTCTACTGCTTGTACTGTAGTAGCTATGGCTAGACTCTGGCAAAGAAACACACTAGCCTGGTGTTAGAATAAATAATCCTTCATCACATGACCCTTGGGTGGGATGATCCTTATCCTAAAGAACTGATAATGTAATTAAAATAAATTATGGGCTACCCTCATGCCATGTAGCAAAGCATGTCAGTTTAACATCTGAGTGGCACTCAATTACATACTTGTGTTACTTGGCATGGGTGCGTTTTGGCCACAGCTCAATTAAATTACTACTTTAAGGTATGCTGTTTATATTTCTCACAGTTGTGTATTTGGTGTCAGTTTGGCACCTGTTCTCGTGACTGAGGCTGTGTGCAATTATCATGCATGAACAGAAAGAGGAAGAGAGTAATTGGAGTCATCTCTACTGGCAAATTCCAGTGAAGTATTGCAGAACGATAAACCCACCATTCAAAAAAACACATTTTTGCACACAGTAGAGTTTATTGTATGGCTGATTTGTGAGAGATTTTACAGCAAGTTAACAGCGATCCCATGGCAAGCCATGGAGGAAAACAGATCAGAAACAGAAATGCTTGATATTTGTGTGGGGGGTATTTAGTCTTTTTTTTGCTTTGCATCGCATGAATGACCCTTAAAACTGGGAGGTCATTCTCAAAGGCAGATTTCAGGCAATATCCCAGCCCAAGAAGCATCTTCGTCTCCATGTTTTTTCATTGTAAATTAATTTAAGTTGACAAACGGGCAAAATGATCAGAAGTGATGAAGCATGTATGTAAACAAATCCATATCTAATTGGATTGCCTCCTCTGAGACAGTCAGGCTTTTTTTCTAAACAGCAAGCCACTTTCATAAATGTGATGGAATAAGATATTATTTGTTGTAGAGTAATCTCTGAGGACAGAAAATGAGTTAAGATAAATAGTTTCCACTTCCATGAAGCTCCATATGTCCTGGTATTGGAGGGCTGTGGTCTGTTAAGTGCTGCATTATGTCTCTCATAGCTCCAACAGCGTGACAGTTAGTGAAGATGACATTGACGTTCTTAAGCAACAGATGTGTCAAAATGAGGAAAAACGAGAGTTTGCACTTACATCAGCAAAAATACATCATACATCTACAGTTAAATGGAAAGGTAATTGAGTGTTGACAAACAGAGAAGGCCACTTGTGGTTAAAGACTGATACATAACATAATTTTGGAAAATGTGAGGCTGACTTAAAAGTTCTAATTGACCATGCAGGAATCCAAAAGCTTGATTAGATTAGTCTTATGTACAGTAATAAAATAGTGGCTTTGAGAAGATGTGCTAACACCTTCAATTCATGTCCTGAATCCCTGTTTATATCATCCATGTCTCTTCTCTGAGGGACTAACATTTCTATTTTATTAACGTGTTGTATCCGCTCATTGACATTTTTAACTCCGTATTTAAATGTGCAGAAGTAAACTCTCATCATGTTCAAAACCTCAGTAGTTGAAGCTCCGATGTCTGTTGAAGTACAGTAAATGTGCCATGTCAGGAGTCATTATGGTTTCCAACAGAAACTTGTCTGGTGCGCTCGTGATAAGAGCAGTACTGCGTTTTACTGAAGATGGCTCAGAGAATGAGAGACTACAGTTTGCCTTTACTCTTGAAATGTAACTGTTTTTTGAATAATTACTTGTCTTAATGGTCGATCAATTACAGAATTAGTCCAAATGCCCATTTAAGCATTATTAAAAGTGCACTTTGGAACTTTATAAGCAATTGATACATTAAGATGTAGTTACATCACTGTTATGAAAGTGATCAGAATATACTGATTGTCTGCTATATAGGGAAATAATTCAAGTAATGTCAAGCTTCTTACATGTTTTATTATCCGCTTTGAGTGTACTGGTTACTGTAAGAAAGGTACAAAAAACAACCACTTGAAACTATTATTCTGTCCGCTTGATGACTTCATTTAGAAATGCAACTCAGTATTTATTTTAGAGTTATTTTTAAAAGATATTTTACATGATTAAAAAGGTGTCAGCTTAACTGTTATTAAAGGAGAAATACAACCTGTATCTCACTTGAATGATAACTGTCTACCGAACAGCTGGATGAAATCAGTAGCATTTATAACACTGCGTCGCTGAAAGATCATCAAGGGAATTGAAAAATAAAGATAATTTATTCCCCAGCATTCACATTGAATCAACATGTGTTGAGGGGACATAATGTTATCCAAATCAGACCTTTTCCATTAATCAATCCCACACTCTTTATTGTGTTAATCAGCAAATTGTTAATGAAGACACGTGCCTGTTTGTCAAGGGTTAGCAGCAGGTTAATAGACTCTTCTTGCTCTGCAAAGGCTTTGTTCACGCTCTTATCATGGCAGACCTTCAGCCACATGTGAAAGAAGAAGGGGTCTGTCCTCACCTCGGTATATATATACACGTGTGTTGTGAGTGCATTACCTCGTTCACAGCTGTCCAAACACTGATTTACAGACAGTCACGACTGACATCCTACTGAACACTACTGGATCGTGTACTGTCACATTACATACAGTGACACAGCAGGTACTTGGTGTCATCTTTATTCAGTTATTCCTTTTAATTGGACTCAAAGCTGATCTGTAGCGGGTTTACCGTTTTTCTGTCATCTATCAGGACAGTTAGCCAATCATTCACAGCTAAGTGCTCCTAATAGTAACTGCTCATATTTGAAGGTGATCATTAAGGTGCTCTCTCTCCGCTCTCTGCAGCCATGTCAGATGAAGTCCTTTTCCAGTCAGAGGTGAAACAGAGCCAAAGAGTTGCTATGGAAACAGGCCTCGTAATTGAATTACCCCCTTTGATGGAGGCACGATACTAAATAAGACAAGGAAAGCAACCGAGACTTCCTCTCAACAAACTAGAGGACAACTACAGTAGAGACATTGTTTTGGCTATTTTGTTTGAGATCCCAATGATCTTTTTCAAGCTTTGGTTTTTTAGATTAAAATCAATGTCGTGGTCTAAGTTTGGAGCATGGCTTCCACATGACTCCCCTATGCCTTGGCCCATTTGCCTGCCCTTTGAGTACATTCAGATGAGGGAAAACAAACACTCCCTTGGGCCATTTAAGGATGTTTTATGAGCTGTTAATAGAACAGTTGTGCCTGTGGGAACTATATTCATCACATAGTACAATATTTCTTAATAAATATCAATAACAGGATTATAAGGCAAATGATAGTACAGAAACAAGCATACTTACTTGCCCTGTTGCCATCTCACACATTTTCATCATCATCATATCAAAACCAAACAATCAGGCCAAAGGTTGCATGTCATGCAAGCAAGAGAGCAATTTTCTGTGTCCTCAACTGTGTTGACAAGTATTCCTTGGCATTTTCCTCATAAAATATGTTTATGTTATGTTGTGTCTTATGTCGACAATACGTCATCCTATCTGCGCTGCACATGACCTCTTGTATAAGAGTTTGTGGTGTTGTTGCACTTCTCAAGCTTTCCGGGGATGGTCAGGAAATCTCCCCTTTGGGACGATAATATCCTGATGATGAAGAAAGGAAATTTGTGTTTCTCATCACAAGTCTGATGCAAACACAAAGACACAACTCACGATTCAAACACACTATACTAAAATAGAAAAGAGGATATTTTTGTTACTTTGTCAATATTTTTCACTCCTTACTGTCACGATTCATAGGGTTTATATGTGCCATTAGTTTGTATTATTTGGTCTTAATCTAACAACACAATTCACATTTGACTGGAGTAGTTTATGGATTATTCTTTTTGTATGTTAGCTGACTCGACAGGAAATGTGGAGAGAGAGAGATAGAGAGGACGTCTTGTCGCAGCAGACGTAGACCCGGTTTGAGCTCAGGATGTTGTGGTTTCACTGTATCGTTGTATGCACCACGCCTGCTAAACTATCAGGACTCTATCACTCAGAAGTTTTGGTATGAAATGTAATATTTCAGTCTTGTGCTGTACCATTTCATATGTCCATTTGCCGAGTTGTTAATCATCGAGACAGGCACGCAGCTTGTCTGAGACTGTGTATAGTGGATTACTTTGACTCTGACCCATAGACCAGAGTACTAACCTGCATCACATCAATATTTCATATACATCCCCACGCTATCCACCTGGCACTAACAAAACTCATGCCTAAAGGGAAGTTGTAGGGCAATCTGTGACTTGTATCACTTCCCTTGACGTCGTCACAATGCAGAGTTGCGGTTAGTTACTCGTTGAAGAGCAAAGCAAAACAATGATCTGAGGTGCATCTGTTTGAAAGGAGTAAGCAGGGCAGTCTAGCTGAGTGTCACCCTTGTGGGAGAGCTACACAAGAAATGTTAATGGTGCCTTTTTTCAGTGAGGAGACACCCACACAGCCTGCTTGAGTCATAGTAAAAAAACAATTGTTTTTGTTATTACCCATCGCGTCATTTTCAGGTTATCATCACTTTTTGTTCAGATGCTGTGCCACAGATGGAAGCCCCGGTCTGATCGCCACAAGAGATCAAATGTTCTGCTGAGCTTTTATGTTGTTTATTGTCTCTGCAGTGCTTAGAGTAAGTCTTCCATTGGGAGGCTCTTAGATGGATCTGCAGTCAATCAGACCGTCTCAACGCTTTGCATTCATAAATATTCACCTCTCCGAACCTACAGTTTAACACTAACCTGTGTCTATCTGTCTGTCCTTTAAAGATGGCCTTGCAGTTTTGACCGCATTCAGGATAAACCTGCACCCAGGTACGGGCAGATCATAGGCTTTATGTGACGCCTGTCTGTCCGTCCTCTCATCATCACCTCTGCAATCTCTCTTTTAATCCACTCGCTCTTTCATCATGCCGTACGTTCCTCAATAATGGAGCATCCTTCTGTTTCTGTTCTGTTCATTTTGCACTGCTTTCCGGTTTGTCTGCTGATCAGACCCAGATGTCTGCGTGTCTGTGTGCTCTTTCAGCCTCCATCTCAGCTTCTGAGTCTGGCTCCTGGTAGCTAAGGTTGCTGTGTATATATATATATATATATATATATATATATATATATATATACAGTATATATGTACAGTCCTGGGATATACAGTCTATACAGTCCAGTCTGGTTATTTTGTCTATAAAAAGTTACTTACAGTAATTGACTTCCCAGAAAAAAGAACATTATAGTTATATATCACAATATTAGGTTACATATACCATTACAGAGAATTGTATCCGCATCGCCCACTCCTACTATACATGTGACATCCTTTAACGTAAAGATAGCCACACCACACATTACAAATACTCCATAACAAGTTTAGCTTCAAGCAAGCTTAAGCAGAAATACAAAAGTATTTGCAAAAAAATATACTTTATATTGTATTTTAAGTAAAATTACTCATTAGGCAACAGAATGGCCCCTGTTAGAGTGCTTAATCAGCCCATATTGTTTGATTTGTATTTCTGATCTACTAAGGTGTAGTTTAATATACAACTATATTTTGTAAGTGGGTGATATTATATATGTACAACTTTGATCTTTAAAGTAAATTCTAACTTTATATGTCATATAAAACTACTGAAATGTAGTGGAGTAGAAGTATAAAAAAATGGAAGTATTCAAGTAAAGTACAAGTACCTCAGCAGCATCCTTGAGTACTTCAGTAAACTACTTTATTACCTTCCACCACTGCTGGTGTAGATGTGCTTATAGCCAACCAAGTGTCGGAACTAAATTGTAAGTTGATCTTAGTTTCTTGATATAAACTAATATGCATTATGTATTGTGCTTGTGTGTGTGTGTGTGTGTGTGTGTGTGTGTGTGTGTGTGTGTGTGGGTGGGTGGCTGAGATATCGTCTCACAGCCGTCAGACAAATACTAGACCCCGTATGTCGGTTCACATTTAGAGATGCAGGTTCCCTTTCATTTGTTTTGATGACTCACTTTGGGATTCACTGAAGGAGGGCCGCTCTCTCCTGCCAGTTACACATGCTGCCATGTCAAATGAAACTGTGGAGAACTAAATGTGAGTCTCCCCTGGGGGCTACGCATGAGACTCGGAATTTTTGTTCAGAGGCAATCCCCGTCATCGGCAATGGAGACTTCATCAGGTTCTAGTGAATTAGGATTCGGCATGATTCGGCTGGGGAATAGTGGATTTGCTTACAAAGCCTTTTTCTCTCTGCATGATCAGCACATGCCTCTGAAAACTAACATATTGATACGAGTGACCTCTTATCCTTATATACTGGCCACTGATTTCTTTAAGGCCTGACCTGAGGGTGAAACTTGACCTATACCAGTCAGCATATCTCAGCCTCTGCTGCTTCTATTTGGACCATTCTTTCTATAACCTGCCTCTCGTGAGTCCCCCATCTTTACAGAAGTTCACAAAATCACTGTCCATCTCATTCATAAGATGTTATGAGTTGGAATCCATATAAAAGGATATAAAACGTCTCTACTCATACTAAGATACCAAATCAAAATCAAAGAAGAAGAGATACATCTTGTTTGGCTTTGTTTGGCATTAGCTTATGGCTTTCATATCAGTGAGCAATGCTCTGCAGCAGCTGACCATTTGGGATTCTAGTTCCCTCTTAGGTTGTGGTTAAAAGTGTCACTTGACTTAGAGCTCACAAGAGGTTGCTGGCATATTTTTCACTAAATTGTCATTCAGCTGGTGGACATGTTTATAGAAGAATATCTCAGCTACTGTAAATATACATCAGCTGAGGGGTAATTGGGTTTTATGAAAAGTGTGTGAGAGAATTAGTTGTAATTTAGTTGTAATTTAGTTAATTTGTGCCAACAAAAGCCATAGTTAGCAAGGTCATTTTCCACGAATCAATGACTGTGTGATTTGAGTAGTTATTTGAACGTTTATGCTCATTTCTGTATTTAAGTCCAACGCTGTTGCTCAGTTCTACAAAAGGCAGCCTACTCCGTGTGACCCCTTTCTCCCTTTATTTGTCTCTCGGTGGGAGTGTATTACACACGGCTGGCCCCCTACTTCTGTTTGCTCAAGTCAGGCTCTGATAACTGGCTGTGCACAGTTGGAGTGAGACCAAAAAAAGTCAAAAAAAGGAAAGAGAAAACAAAGCTGCTAAGACTAAATAAAATATTGGATGCACAGTCAACAATGCTTCCCACAAGCCCACTGGAAGATATCCCACTGTGTCATCTGCACGTTGTACTCCTCAGGGATTCTGATGGCATATTTTCCTTCCTTCCTATGACTCTCCAGCCTTATCATTGAGCTTCCACATGGAGCCACCACAGTCCCTTTCTCATTGGCTCGCACTGCTGTCTGTAATATCATTGGGTCTAATCAGAGAAGGCTCCTTTGTGTGCTGAATGTGTTTCATTTGAGGGGAGGTAAGACTTCTGGCATGCCAACCTCCAACCTCGGGGCCCACCCCCTCGATGATGCCTCAATGCACGTTCCAGCCTCCCCCACAGAAAGTGCCGCTTTCGCACCATCCAGGAATAATAGGGGAGCAGGCAGCGAGCAGAGCAGTGCTACATGAGCACATTCTCTCTGCCAGTGTGGAGGGAGAGAGAGGCACTGAAGGAATGTTGTGTGTCATTTTATGAGAGAGGAAGAGGAGAGCATATGTGTGTCTGTGTGCTGCTGCCTTTGTGATTCACATCCTTCTCTCAGCTCCTCTGCTGATGTTGCCAAGAGACTGTAGGATTTTTATTTGGCCCTCGTTGAATTGAGTTTGTCTGAGACGCCATTACGATTATTGGCCGGCTCATGTCTCTTAAAGGGAAAGTTTGGTTTTGAGTGAACCTTAGTATTATCCTGCATACCACGTATCCTGCATGGATATAAACAGAGCTTAACCCAGCTTAGCTAAATTACTAGATGTGGGTGTGACAGTAGAGAAGAATACCCTCTCCATTGCTAAAGGGTTGATACTGTCAGGCTAACTTGGACCCTTAAACAAGCACATAATGATGAAATTCTAACAATGACATTGTTTTTGGAGCAATTGTTTTCCCTTGTTGGATATAGGCACATGTAAACAGGAAGACTGTGCCTTCCTGCTTCCTGCAGGAAGCATGACTGAAACTTTTTTTGAAGAAAACACATTGTTACATGTAGTTTAGTTTGACCAGCCATCAGTCTCTGGGCCTCTGGTATTTTATTCTGTACGAGTGTATAAGCTACACACACTACCACTTTATAAGACACATGCAAGTGTTCAGAAGAAAAATATGTAACGTAACAATCAAACTCACTGAACATAAAACTGACATCTTTAAGTCGTCCTTGGACTGTTGCACTGCCCAATCTTTAGTAACGATCAAGTTTCATTATAACATAATAATGACTAACATAAACAACAATAATTATTTTTCTACTGGACGGGGGTTGAATCAATAATCTTCTGGTCACAAGCCCATTTCTCTCACCCTTTGGCCACAACCACCCATTTAATTAAATATATCTTCTTTCTTTTGCAGATGAAAACGGTGGAAATGATGTCAATTCATTACCTGAAAGAACAACACTGCCTGGACATATAGAGGTAAGCTCCATCGTATCTGTGGGTGTTTCAACAGACTCTCAAATGGGAAGGAAGAATTATGACGTTATGGGAAATAGTCTTATTAGCTTTTTTAAAACGAGTTAGATCGATACTCTACAAGTCTATACGATACATATAAAGCTGGCTAGCCTAGCTTAGCATAAAGACTGTAAACGGGGAAGAAGCTTGCCTGGTTCTATCTGAAGATAAACACATTAGCATATCAACACCTCTAAAGCTCACCAAATAAATTGTTATATCTTGTTAATTCTTGTTAATTTAGTTTGTACAAAAATGTGTAAAGATGCTGAACTCTCAACTTTCACAAGAAGGTGAATATATATTACCCAAAAGAGGTGGCGGAGGTGGCTTTTGTTATATCTCCAAGTTGTTTTCTTTTAAGGCTGTTTATGTAAATATTTATGTGTGTGTCATTTCATAGGCTTAGATGGCTGACCTTCTGTCAACTCACCACTCTCATCGCTGAGTCACAAGACCTCTGTGTCTCTCAAAGCCACTCTCCTTTCTCCTCGGCGAGACAGAAATACACTGTCGCTGCTCCAACAGGAGCCAGTCTGTTGTGTTTTCAGTGATACAGTGAGGACAACAAGCAGATGGTTTATCAATCGTAATTCACAGCACTGATTATAATATGTTTCTGTGATGTATGACTCTGGGATTCAGTGCATGATTGGGTCAGTGGTAATCTATCAAACACTTCTTTTTTTCAATGTTCTCATTAGGTCAGAGCATGATTAAATAACACTGCAACGAGCGGCCGTCACGCCCCTGTAGGTCTTTTAGTGGATGTGAGGTTCTGATAAACAAGCTGGGTGGGGTTCAGTAAACTACTGCACAAAATGGCTGCTCCACGCCGTCTTTTCTGAGCTGCAAACACTGACTTCATATCTGACTGGAAAATTGAAAGTGGATTTTCTTTCAATGTCATGTTAAAGTGAAGCATGAATATGAATAAACAAACCAACATTTTTCAGGATACATGAGCTTTCACATTTCCCATAAAGTTTGACATATGCATCAGTAGATTCTTGTCATCAAACAAAACTCAGTTCAAATTTAAAAAATATGATATTCTTTCTACAAACACAGGTTACATTTTCTTTCACCATTTTCACAAATTGAAATGTATGGTAAAGGCAAAGCTGTACAAGAATTAAACAAAGGTAGAATCGGTCCATTCAACTGAAAGTTTTAAGTCGATTCTTTTTCCAGGTTATTTAAAGGTTATGAAATACATATTATTAACACATACAAAGACACATACTGTATATTGTAGACACTGATTACAGTACATCACAAACCATAGATCACTTAATCTTTTATCCGTATTAAGAGTATTGTTAAAGAATGACCATTAATGTTATAACTGTCAAAAAACAAATTTGGAGTAAGACAATGAGTGAAATACAAAAGTTGATGAAGAACATGCAGAGCATGTTTCTCCTCCACCATCAACTACTTTTGTATAATGACAGACTGTGATTGTACTGTGTCCAAAGTTTCCTGTTTTATGTGTTTTTTCTGCAGTCATTGTGGCCTTAGTCTAAAACTTTCTCCAAAGGAAACAACATTATCTTTAAATACTTTTCAATACAACTACTCCCGGAGTCAGTAGCCTATAACCTAAATTACGTGTATATTTCTGGGACACAATGTGCTTCTCTCTATATATATAATACTGTATATCTATCAGTGTTAAAGTCTGAGCCCTTCATGTCTCTCCTCAAGATTATGATTTAATGTCTTGCTGTGTCAGTATCTGTTGTTCCAGTATTGCATGTCTGTTAGCTTTCACTTCCTACTCTGTGAGAAAGCTGAACGTTACATTTTGTTTGTTTGTTTCTCCTTCAGACTGACAAACTACAACCGAACAAAGACACCGTGTTCTTCAGGGACGGAGTTCGGAGGATAGACTTTGTGTTGTCCTATGTAGATGACAAAGATGGAGAAAAGAAACAGGTAAGTGGAACAGAAAAGTGACAAGTTGTCGTCAGTTGACTTCTCAGCATTTTACAGCCTGTGACTAACTGTGACACTGTTGACGTTACGCAATTTTTATATCCAGAACAGGAATATGTGGTACTGCTAAGAGGAAATGGGATTCAGGTTACACACAACATTTGTGGCTCTCAGTATTTGTGTCAATTAGCTTGTAACAAAACAAGGTGGGCCTACACCTGTTATTTCAATGTGTCGGGTACATATTTAATCAACATTTAGTAATCAATTATAATAATTATGGTATTTGCGGATACCCGATATTAAAGGACTTGGATCATGATTAAAAGAACTTGATTGGGATATCCCTAATTTTAAGTAACTATTGCTAGATATACTGTCTTGCCAAATGCTTACTTTTGTGGACTTTTGCTTATGTTTATTAGATTAATTACTGTATTGTACTTCTTAACCCTTCATATGTGATATACTGTTTATTCCTAGCATTGGCATTTAACAGTTTACAGTACGAATTCATTTTCATTCATGGAATCTCAATGTTTTCTTATTTGTAATCACTTGGATTGAATTTGTTGTCCTTTACACTTTTTACAGTTGCTTCCAGTAAAGGGCAACTAATTGTCTTTAACCTTTATTGGAAGTGTGTTTTGCTCGCTGCATAAGCTATCCACCTACATGCATGTAAGGCGGAGGACTATTTAAAATCGTCATATTTTGGAGCATGGTATGGCTACTTCATCATCACCAAACAGCATTCTGAATCCTTGAATGACCTCCTCAATCTAAGTGCCACATTTTCAACCTTTATTTATCCAGGGAGAATTCACTAAGAGCAACACTCAGTTTTTGAGGAAGGCTGTTTCACATCCACACCTGAAAGCTGCACAGAACAAGCACAGTGCCAAAGATCACACTGAGCTCATAGGTAGAAACATTTAGTTTGTATCTCTGAAAAGGAAGCACTTTGTTTACATGGATCAAAACGGAGGAATTGCTTAAACAGCCGACATTCAAATGCTGACAATTTCTTTAAGAAGAAAGATACATTTTAAGGCTCACCTTTTTAACCTCAAGGATACCGACTAACCTCAAGTAGTCTGTTGCATTGCTCCCCCCCCCCCATTTAATTGCAGTTAATTAAGTGTATATGTAAATGTTTTTGTGTAATTTTCCAAAACACTTTATGTATTAAATGTGGTATAGGTGTTCTATTATCATTGTGTTGTTACCACTGTCCCTCACTGTCCTCCTCACTGTGCCCACAGTATTAATCTAGGTCAGTGATTGAGTTTGCCCCCTCTAGTGTCCATTGATAGGGCCATTAAATTGTCCCCTGAATCCATTTGGAAGTTATAACAGTATCTTTATAAAAGCATGTTTTTGCAGAAATTTCGTATATATGAAGGTAAACTACATGCAAAGACTTTAAGAGTGCGAGTGGCTCTCATGCTTGTGGTGTGTGTGTGTTTATCCACAGGAGAGGCGGAGGGCCTTTGAGGCCAACCTTAAGAAGGAAGGACTGGAGCTGGAAACAGAGGACAAATCGGTAAGAAATTAAACCACAGAGTACCTGCACCACCTAGTGGATAGTTTGCTGAGGCACACCCCATTCTCCAGGAAAAGTCTTAAAGGGATTGCTCACGTTATACTGCCATCCATCCAAGTACTGGAAGGAAATTATGTATAAAATTATATGTATGTTTTCTTCTCCTCAATCTCTCCTTGTATCAGGACTCCAAAGACCAAAAGACATATTTCTTGAAGATTCATGCGCCGTGGAATGTACTGGCCAGATATGCTGAGATCTTAAAGGTCAAAGTTCCCTTCAAAAAGAGTGATTTCCCCCACGCTGAGGATGTCCCACTGGAGTGGCTCTCACAACCTTTCCGCTTGCCAGAGCCCATTATGCGTCCACAACCTGACTACTACACCTACCCCTTCGAAAATAGCAAGACCGACTTCTTCCTTATCACTAACAAAGATACTTTCTTCCCGCCTTCCACGAGAAACAGAATTGTGAGTAATTATTTTTCTAAAATCAGAATACACTTTTTTACACTGTAAATATCTCCTAGGTCTAAGATTTTAGTATTTATGAATAATTAATCAGTTTAACTCTCACAGATATTCTGTACAGACTGACCCTTGGGGAATTGTTCTAGCATTTACTCCACAGTGTTAGAACGTGCTTGCGCAACAATGAAGGAAAGTGCAAAATGCATTTAGCTAAGACGTTTCTACAAATCCAAATCCTTTAATCTCTTGCTAAACCTTGTCCTTGTTGTAAGGTGTACTACATCCTGTCTCGTCGCCCGTACTACAAAGAGGGTCAGACAGAGAAAGACAAGACGGGAATCAAGCGACTGCTCAGCAATGGGACGTATACAACAGCCTTTCCACTACATGATGTAAGACACGGGGAAGAAAGGACATGAACATGTAGAGGTCAAAAATATCGATGGTCATCTACTTTAGCGCTTCCATTTCATGAGCCGTCTTACTTCTACTTCATCACACCGGGAGACAACTGTGACCAGCTACTATATTAATCTAGGTTAAGACTCAACATGCAAGATGTATGATGTTATGCATATCAGTATAAGTAACCCAATTCCATATGAAGTACTTCAAAATAAAGCTTCCTACAACATTACATTGCTTCATATATTTAACACATGATAATTAAACACACAGACAGGAGCAGTTCTGTAGAAGGAGTAATGCTACTTTTACTACTACCACTACTACTGCTACTGTAAACATGTGGTAGTAGTAAATTGGTTTGCAAAACATTGAATGCAGGACTTTTATTTCAAGTATATTTGTATGTGTATCATGTATATATATTTGTCTATTTCCCAGTTCCAGAGCAATTATATTTAAATCAGCATGGCTTCAGAATAATGTGATATACGTATAGAATTTTTAAGTGTTTTTTTTTCTTTTTTACTTCAACAAAAATTTGATGAAACTGTTCTAAATTTTCATATTAAGAGAAGGAATATAAGGAATAATTCAACATTTTCGGAAACACGCTCATTCTCTTTTTTGCAGAGAACTTTTTTCTTTAACTTTAAAAAAAGGTTATTTTGCTCAACAGCCCCATATTGCATTGTTTCTTTTTCCTTTCAGTGTCGATACTGGAAAACGGCAAGAAACACTGAGTGTGAGAGTGAGCGCAACAACTTGTACAAGCACTGGGCCAGGTTCCTTTGCTTTTACAAAGAGCAGCCTCTCAACCTCATCAGGTAAACAAGCAACACCTGAATGCTGTCACCCTTTGTTTTCACACAAGAACAAATGTTACTGAAGCAAATGTTTAGTGAAAACTTTCTTTAAACCAGAAAGTTAAACGTGCTATATTTCGTTGTAGGAAGTACTATGGGGAGAAGATTGGGATCTACTTTGCCTGGCTGGGCTTCTACACTGAGATGCTGTTCTTTGCAGCCGTCATGGGCGTTATATGTTTCACCTATGGAGTGCTCAGTTATGACGACAACATGTCAAGGTTTGTACCACCAGAGGGTGTCAGGGAGCTGATAACCAAATGGCCCAAAATATATGGACATCCAAATACACCCAAATGTCAATTTTGACCATTTAACAAACTTTAATCTGCTGCTTTAACTGCCTCCTCTCTTTTGGAAAGACTTTCCGCAAGACTGTGGAACCTGAATGGATGTTTGCTCCCATTCAGCCACACGAGCTTTAATGAATGTCCACTGATGTTAGACTATAAGGACTGGTTTAGGAAAACCATGTCTTTATGGACCTCCTGAGTTACCTTGAATGTGTGAAGGAAACTTTGTTTGGTGATCGAACAATCAAAAAACAGAGAAAATTCTTGATGAATTGAAGTAAATGCATATTGAACTGCATCAAAGGTATATCAAGATTTGTGCAGTATAATCCAAGTCTCATTTATTCAGTCGTACGCTCACTAGATCCCAAACACATACACAAGTGTTTTAGATAGTAAGGTTTTAGCAGAGATGCATGTGTTTGGGAAGTACTTACCATACGATTGGATAAATAAGACTTGGATTAACGGCTGTTTTGATATAGTTTTTCTGTTGTTAAACACAGATCCCATGTACTTCATTATTTTATCAAGATTTTTCTCAGTTTGTTGATTCGCTGTTCCCCATTGGGGCATGCAGGAAAAACTAAGTTTTCTTTAAGAATACAAGGCAACACGGGGTGAGTAATCGATATACAAATGGTCATTTTGGGGATAAGTATTCCTTTGAATAACATTTTATGCTGTTGCGTTAAGATTTATTGGAACTAAAGCGTCCAGCACCAACTTGGAAAAGCAGCCTCCAACCAAAAGTACACAAAAGTATGCGGACAGAGGGATCCACATACTTTTGGCCATATCATATACGTATGAACTCTTATGCCTTAGAGATTGATAGATAGACTTTTATATTCAAATAAAATGACGGCCTGTTCAAAATTAGATGCTAAATTGTTGTAATTGTTATAATTTGTTCAAGTCTCTTTGTTTTCTCCTTTTAGCCACGAAATATGTGACGCCAATATCGGAGGTAGTATCGTGATGTGTCCGCTTTGTGATAAAAAGTGTCCTTTCTGGAAGCTCAACTCTACGTGTCTCTCGTCCTGGGTAAAAAAGACGTCTTCCAATACCTGCAGTTAATTGTATCCTGCTGTGTCAGCAGTATGTCACCATGTGCGTGCCCTGCACGTCACTGAGGAACTTCTTTTTTTCATAATCTCTCTTCCAGCAATCCCATCTGTTTGACAACGAGGGAACGGTTTTCTTTGCCATATTCATGGGGATTTGGGGTAAGTGTCAGTCGATGCTGCTCTTACTGCGTTAGACCTGTGTTGGAGACCCAGTTTATTCCCCCTCCTGTGAGACAGATTTTCACAATTAAAGCCTTTTCACACCGAAGCATAAACCTTAATCTGTACTGCTTGAGCCCAAAACAAGATGCCAGCACAATTATGTTGTTATGTACGAAGCAGTCAGAAAGCACGTCCAGCGCAATGAAGGCAAATAGCGCCAAAATAAAAAGCTGGCCTCATGAGCAGCAAGCCAAGAAGTGTTCTAGCACAGCTGAAACGCATTACACTCCTAAAACTCAACACAGGCATTGTCTGTTTTCAGTCAGTGTAAAGAAGAAATGGATGGACACACCTGCACAGCATCAGACTTCTCATCATACAGCAACATTTTGTTAAAGATGAATTCCAAGCTAAGATTTTACAACTTTTTGCTTCCTTTCTTCAAATCTACTTGGCAGCAACTCTGTTTTTGGAGTTCTGGAAGCGACGTCAAGCCCGGCTGGAGTACGAGTGGCACTTGGTGGACTTTGAGGAGGAACAGCAGCAGCTTCAAACCCGGCCTGAGTTTGAGATCCGATGCACTAAGGAGAGACTCAACAAGATCACTCAGGTGCTTCGAAACGTGGAAATAAACACAACAAATATTATGTACTCTGTGGTTTGCAAAAATTGCATCGTAGCTACACTTCTTAAAGAATAAATTATAATAATGTTTCAGAAAATGGAGCCGTATCTTCCTGTCACCAGCAAGTGTGCCCGCTTCTGCCTCTCGGCTGCCACTGTTATATTCTGGGTAACTGAATATTTATCTCAGTCCTGTGTGTTTGTGTATGCACATGTAGGCTTTTTACAACAATACCTAGTGAGTATTTTTTACCAGCATCGTCACATACTCAGCTTTACACGTGTGTGCTCCCACAGATTTCTCTGATAGTGGCCTGTATTATCGGGGTCATAGCATACAGGCTGGCTGTGTATGCTGCTTTTGCAAGTATCATCAAAGACCCCTTGAGGAAGATCCAGTTGGTGGGCAGATTCATCACTCCACAGCTAGCAACGTCTGTCACCGCCTCCTGCATCAACTTTGTCATCATCATGATCCTCAACTTTTTCTACGAGAGGGTGGCCGTTTGGATCACTGATATGGGTAAAGAGGTTTAATCTGATATTCACTTAATCAAAGAAAGACAGAGTCTAAGGACAATAGAGTCATCTTTGACACTATGAACATATGATCTATGATCTTACACTGATTTACTATCTGGTGTTTGCTTCCTGCAGAAATCCCAAAGACCCACGTTGAGTATGAGAACAGGCTGACCATGAAGATGTTCCTCTTCCAATTTGTCAACTACTACTCATCGTGCTTCTACGTGGCCTTCTTCAAGGGGAAATTTGTTGGTTTTCCTGGTGACTACACATATATGTTTGGCAAATGGAGCAACCTGAGGAATGAGGAGGTGAGTTTTCTTGCCCTTAATACAATAATGATTGAAGTTATGTATTTCTTTTAAGTAAACATCCTCATAGAAGAGGGAAGGTTCATGCTGTAACATTTTCCCACATTTTTCTACCAGTGAGGACAGCTTCATAATCTGGTGCTGCCAACAGGAAGTGCATCAAATGAAAGTATGTTATGTAAACTAAAAATGTCTTGCTGTCATAGTGTGACCCTGGAGGGTGTCTGATTGAGCTGACCACACAGCTGGTGATTGTAATGTCAGGAAAACAACTCTGGGGGAACATTCAGGAAGCTCTGCTGCCGTGAGTCCACCCAGTCTTTCACCTCTTAATTATTCATCTCAATAAGCCACCATAACAAGAGAATCATTTTCAATTCAGATTTTCAATTAAGATTTGCATCTTGTGGATTTAAAAGATTAATATGTTGTGTGCACAAATTATCATCAAGTAGATTTCATTTCCTACTCTGCAGCTTGCTTCAGATGCTCACATCCTCTTCAAAGTGGAGAGAACTCAGTTGATAACGTTTAATCTTCTACTTTTGAATGTCACACAATGAAAGTTTGGCTTCTCCACCCCACAAACACAATAATTATAAAGATCACGACTGACCATGATCAGTTATATGCTCACGCGGAGGATTTACATTTACGTATTGACACGAAAAAGCTTCAAAGTTTAGAAGAAGACATTATCAGCCCAACTCAGTCCAGAGTGTTATACACTGTCAGTACTTGTCAAAAGCAACAAATTACAGTACATCAGGTACATGTATGCCTAAAACAAATGGTAACCCGAAAGCTAATAGTAGTTGTTGCAAACTTTTATGCATACTTTTAAATAACTTGTTCACATCACATCACATTGTGTGCGCAAACTTTAAAAAATGACTATAGGACTGCAGCTATAAATACTGTCGTCACTGTGATGATCAAGGAACATCTCTCTGTAAATTACTTGTTGGCTTTGTGAAAGTCTCGACGTCAGATCTCCGCAATTTCACATCTGATTCTTCTTCGTGACAGGTTGATACGTAACTGGTGGAGTAGCAGAAAGGGACGGCACCATCCTGAGAACCATTACAGCCGTTGGGAACAGGACCACGTCCTGCTGAACTTCAGCCAGCTGGGATTGTTTTATGAGTACTTGGAGATGGGTGAGATACTTCACTCACCTTGTTTGCAATACAAAGATCATATCTGGACAGGAGAGCAAGATAAATTGCTGTACGATATATATGGATGTTGTCTTGTCTTCTATCCCTGTATTACATGTATTGTCTTCCACTCCCACTAACTAACTATCACTAAGTCTCTCTGTCTGCTCTCTCTCTTTTCAGTGATCCAGTTTGGTTTCATCACATTGTTTGTGGCCTCTTTCCCTTTGGCTCCGCTGCTGGCTCTGTTCAACAACATCCTGGAGATCAGGGTGGACGCCTGGAAGTTCACCACCCAGTTCAGGAGACCAATAGCGTCCAAGGCCCGAAACATCGGAGCGTGGCAGGAAATCCTCAACGGAGTGGCCATTTTGTCTGTTGTTACCAACGTGAGTGTTATATGTGTAGTGCAGGAATATGTTTATTTGTCTAATCTGTGCTTGTTTCTGTATTTGCACGTATGATAAACATTTAACAGGCTGTCAGAAGGACATAATATTTATTTGCAGCAATTTCACTGCAGACTCAAACATTTCATTGAAAGCCTTTTGTGCTTTCTTCTGTCTCAGGCTTTCATAATGGCGTTCACCTCCGACATGATCCCCCGTATGGTCTTCCTGTATGCCTACGGTAAAGATGCCAGCATGAGGGGATACGTTAACAACAGCCTGTCAATATACAACATATCTCAGATACCTGAGCGCAACATGCCCGAGGAGCGAGGCGACTGGTTTGATAACTCCACCACCTGCAGGTATTAGAGCATGAAGAGCTTGTTGTGCCTCTGGATTTAGCTTATGCATTCAGCTTTGACATTTTTGAGGAGCTTTAAAGTTGCACTAATCATTCATTTTTATATTAACAACTGTTCAAATCTAATAGCATCATTTCCAGCCGCAAAAGGCAGCTGTTTCCAGCAAAGAACGATCTGATAAACACTCTGTACACTATGGTGAACAAACAGAGACTAGCTGGTAAATATAGTGGAGCATTTACATGCTAGAGAGCCAGATATTTGCCACAGGAGTTAGTAGAGAAAAAGAAAATAGTTTGCCATACTTGTTAGCCATATCAACTTTATAGGGTTATGATATATCAGTGTTGTGTTTACAGCTTGTTGTACTGCCCCTGAGTGGATAAAATGAGTCATTGTTAAAGAAGTATCATCTGAATTAATACATTTTGCTTTAATTCAAGAATAAGTGTTTACGTTGTGTGAGCGTTCTGGAACGTTTCTATAGCATTAACTGATGTGTGCTAGTATCAGCACATTTTGTGTCATGATTACGTTGATGAAACATGACTGACTGTATGACATTGTTTTGTACAGATACCGTGACTACCGTTACCCTCCAGGCCACCAGAAGGAGTACACTCACACCATGCAGTTCTGGCACATCCTGGCAGCCAAAATGGCCTTCATTATTATCATGGAGGTAAGACAACGGCGCTTCTTCCCACTCCTTGCTCAAATAATAAATGCTCAGAATTAAAGGACTACATCTTGACCATATGATTATTCTCGCTCTGCAGCACGTTGTGTTTGTGGTGAAGTTCTTCGTGGCGTGGATGATCCCCGACATCCCTTCAGGCGTGAAGGCTCGGTTTAAAGAAGAACGCTACCGGATTCAAGAGGAACTGCATACCTACGAGGTGAAGAGGGTCAAACTCGAGCTGAGTGCCAGTTTCATCACAGAGCCGCAGTCAGAAATGTCCTTGATGACAGACAAGCATGAAGTGTTGTCTGAGTGACTGTAGGCTCAAGCTTCGAGCCACAAACGGACCGAGAGCATCCATATACAAGGGCTCCTGTCTTTGGGTTGAAAACACTATTATCTTTTATTGCTGAATGGACTCCTATATTAGGATGCAACATTTTGCTTAAAATCAGCTTTTTGTGCGGATAAAACATTCCTGTGCCATATCTTTAGTGGGGGAATAACAGCAAAGAGCAAAAAGATTGTAAGTGCAGCCTTTATCATTCCCCGTGTAAGGTCTTCCGACTGAAAAAGACTAATCTCTGTATGTGCCGGTAGTTTGTGGTGTTGAATATGTGACATTAGGGGTAATTACCCTTTAAAGAGTTGGCTGTGATATCATTGATTAAATGTTCTGCATGTGATTCTTCTGATTAGAATACAAGATCAAGGACCCGACTGTTTAGAAAAGAAAATATGTCAGTTTTAAAAATGTTTGTGGTTAAAAAATTCATATCATTTTAGAGATATATCTTATACATCACATATCCTTTTTCTGTCATTTAACTGTAGACTTACAACTTTACTTTTTTTAAAATTGGTAGCTACATAATGTTAAGCTCCACTGATCTATAGCTGGGCTATGAGATTGTTATGAGAGGTAGTTTAGAAAAAGTCTCTTAACCAAGTACCTCCATCATACTGCTGTGATACTGTAACAATCAGAAGTGTGGGTCCGCCCTGTGTTAGTAACTTGGTGACAGCAGCTGCAGGCTCGTGTATCTCATCTTCCAAATGTATTTCTAACTTGCTGCGGGACCAATTAGAAGATTTCTACCAAGAGAAAAGACTCCACAAAGAAAATCTCTTAACAATCAGTTTATGTGCGTGAGTTGAGGTCGATCATGTGTCGACTTTACTGTGTGTTACACATGGATAATAAATGGCCTATATTTCTGTTTTCAGATTTCACATTATTGGTGTCTCCACATACTAGGCATAAACAATTATAACCGCCATAACAGAGATAGACAGAAAGGAGAAGAACTTCTTGGGCCCTGGTTGGGATACATGTGAGTGATGATTTCAGTGAGGGACTTTTAGTAACTGGTTCATACTCTGGTTACCAAGTGTTCCTGTTAATATAAATAATACATCATATATTTAAATGGGTTGCAGTGTAATTACCTGATTGATCTGCTTCTGCTCTCTAGCCTGAAGCTTTTGTATTTGGAGTTACTTATCAATTTATTTGCAACACCTGATTTCTTATTTTGCACTATTCATTGACTCATAACGACTATTGAGCAGTGTTAGTTCAGACAGTTATTCAAGTACATTTAATTCTATAAATGGCTTCTTTGTCAAGGGACCCTTTTTTAGATACAGAATCACTTTTTATCCTCTTTAGCTTAACATGTATTAAGGTTTTTCTGTGTTTGTATTGAAACCTCTTTGTATTTTACTGTAAATGATGCAGTTGTGATTTGAGATATCAGCTAATTATATTTGACAGTCAAAAGCTAAGCCTGAACAACTCACATCTCAGGATTAAACATCTGCTCATGTTTGTTGGGCGTCACTTGTTGATAAAGAATGCAGATGTCAGACGTGTGCAGAGCGTGTTCCTGCAACATGTATGATGTATTTCCCAACAAACAAATGCCTTAAACCTCTGTGCTTACTTGTTTTTGTATGATTTTGTATTGACAGTTTCCTATCTGAATTCTAAACCTATTTCATAAAACATGTTGCTGCTGCTAGTCATTGCAAAGTAACGTTTTTCTTGCATGAATTGCTTTAAATATCTTTGTCAGTTCTATTCTAAGTTCAGTGTCGATTGTACAAAAATGTAGGAAAGCTGTTAATATTCACAAAAAATAAAGAAATAACTAGTTGTGGTGTAAGTTGTTTTTTTTTGCACACAACATAAAAACAGATATAAAAATAGACTTAAATAAGACTTATACTGCGGAACGTCTCCCAATGTTTTAAGATGTGTAAAAACACAATACTTTAAATAATAGCTAGTGTCTGAGGTTTTTTCCACAAATAAAAATCCTCCATTATCTCACTGACAAATTCAGAATCTATGAACATGTAAATCATGTTAATTTCACTACCGGACACAAGATGTCTCCCTCGTCTGTGTAAAGTCCACTCTTAGTATTTCCAAAACCACACTTGTGTCAATTGCATCTTGGACCACGATTGGCTTTCGAATTAGTTTTGATACCTCATAATTACAAGTGTTAAACTGAGATTTAAGATGAGCACACACAAACTTCCTCCCTTCAGCAGGTGAACATGAAAACAAACTTCCAGTCAAACTCTGCTTCACACACATCATTATGCACAGTGAAGCTCAAACATCCAAGAGAAGCAACAATAACCAAAACATAGTTTTGCATGGAGAGTGACTTTATAAAAAACAAAATAATAATATATAAAATATGATTTAGCAAAGGACATAATGTGCCAATATTAGAGCAAGATGCAGTGTCACGTGTGACCACCAGATGGTGTCCAATACCAACAAATGACAAGAAAGACACTGATCGCTTTTCTCCTTTCTCTTTTGTCCTCTAATCGCACATCTAAGATCTTAGAATTATTATTTATTTATTATTATCATTATTTATTGTTATAGTTTGTATTATAATGTGTATGATTGTAATCATTATTATTATTACTATTAGTAGTAGTCGTAGCATTAGTAGTAATTTGGTCTGCAGAAGGATAACTATCACACGACATATCCTTGAAATCTCATTAAATTTATATATAAGAAAAAATGCTTCCAAAGTTGTGTGCATGTTTTGGTGGGAAGATGTGGTTGTCGGGGGCATGAAAATAGGCTTACATTATTGATGGATTCCTACGATGAGCAGAGGAGCTTGTTGGGGGGAAATCCATTCTTGCTCATTTGGTTTCCATAGCACCGCCCCCAGGAGAGCTGCAGCTTTCATAAATGGGGTGGACTGTCCTTGTTTTTTTTTATAAATATACATATATATACATTTAAGCATAAAAACACCAAATAACCATGTATAATCTAAATATCTAAAGTTGTAGCCTTTTAAATGTCACATAATTTAGGCTGCGACATGAAGCGAACGATTGAACTATGGAAACATTTCCTCCTCGTCCCCTCCGTTGTTTTCTGAAATGACTGATATAAAACAGACTCATACGTATAAATATATATGCATCATAATGTTATATCTTGTTTCTGGCCTTAATTTGTGCTGAGCAACTGGCCAGATGTTGGACACGGAGCTGCTGTCGCTGACCTCGGTGCTGAACACGACGTCAGATGAACCTGCGCGCTCCACAGGAGACACGATACAGTCTCACTCCCTCTTTGATTTATTGAAGCTACTCCAAACACCCACTTCTGCTTTTTAAACTTTGAGATCTTTTATTTTCCCGTTCATTCACTCTCTCTCTCTCTCTCTCTCTCTCTTTTTTTTTATTCCGGACAAATCCATAACAGATCCACGACGCTGGCTAACAATTTCACTCCTTTTCGTTTTCCGTCGTGATGGCACTTGGCGCGACTACTGTACGCCAGGCAGGAGGCGGTGTGGTGGTGGATGAAGGCGCACAGGTCGTTTGATTCGTCCTCTTTACTCGCTTTAGCGCTTTCATTGTGAAAATTAGACTCGTCTTTTGGATAGTCGCCTCCCTGGACTCAGATTTATCACAACTTGGTTTGTTGTTTTCCTTGTAGCCGCAGCAGTCGGCCATCCTGCGCCGTAACATGACGATTAAGCAGTAAAATAATAGTGAGAAATAGGCCTATACATAGAAACTGGATATGGAGTCAGTAAAGACGAGAGCAGCGGCGGGGGTGAAGGAATTTGCGGGGAAGACACTGGGTCATATGTACAGGTAAGGACAGGCTTTGTTTTGTTTCATCTGGATTGGTGCGCGCCAATTTCCTCGCGTTAAAATGTGATTATTTGCATGCTTGTTTTTATCCAGACACGAGTCAGTGTGTGTAGGTGTGCAGGGCACCCAAAATTGTTTTACAACTTGCAGGGATCTCTAGTCACGCCTCTAGAAGTGAGAGGAAAATTATGCAATCAAATGTGTGTTTGTGTGTGTGTGGGTGTGTGTGCTTGTGTGTGTGTGTGTGTGTGTGTGTGTGTGTGTGTGTGTGTGTGTGT